GACTCCACGGCACACAACAACAACAACAACTCTACCCTTTCCACCTCTCACCCTGCCTGCCCTCCAGCCACACTGCTGTCTCTCAAGTTCCTGAACTCCCATCAGCCACAGGACCTTTGCTTTGAATATGCAGCCTCTGTTCTCTGCTCTCGGGGACATGCGACATTGATCTGTGCTCCACTGAGGTCAGTGCTCTGAGGACACTGGTTTCCCCCTTGTAAATGGTCTGCACTTGAGTTTTCTTTTGAAGCTGTGTGTCATCGAGTCGGTTCTGACCCATAGCGACTTTGCATACGGTTTCCAAGGAGTGGCTGGTGAGCTTGAACTGCCGACCTTGCAGTCCAGGGGACACCTCATGGAAAAACAGCATGTGACAAACAGTTACTCGTGGTTTCTTTGGGGAGATCGCCCCTCATTCTGAAGTGATGCCCGTCCTACCCACCTTGTTATTAACAATGCCCTGCTCTTCAATGAGATGATAGTTAAGTGAATGCCTGCAGAATCAGCACTGGACTGCTAACTGTAATGTCAGCAGTTCAAACCCACCAGCTGCTCCTCGGAAGTTATGTATAGGAATTGACTCAACGGCACTTAACGATAATAAGTTGCTAAAATGAAAAGTTGGCAACTCTATTCCCATTAGTTTTCAGTGACCTTCTTACTGGGCTGTGTGTTCCCAAGGTCTGAAAGTGACTGTTCTCTGTTACACCGGGCACCTCCCAGGCCCCTGGTAAGTGAATTATCTCTAAACCTCAGTGAGAGATCCAACCTCAGCCTCCACTGAGGTGAGGGGGCTTCACCACCTAGGATGGGTACAACACTCATTTCTGGGCCCAAACAGCCAGAGGCATCTTTCTTACCCTCCAAAATACGGCCAGATGAATGATGAGCTGGAAGATCTCAGGCTATGTTCCTCAGAATGTGGTTCCAGCAGAAAACGCCAGCCCCTTGGAGGCAGCATTATGGGCCGTGTTTCATGGATTCAGCAGTGACAACACAGATGAAGCCAGCGCTGGCACCGTGATGTCATTGGGGCTTCTCCGCTCCCTTCTGAGAGAGCAGTTTTGCCATTTGAAAGGTGAGGCCACAGAGCCTCGCAGTGCAAGGTCCCCAAGTAGATCATGTTCTGATGGTCAGGCAGGTGGTGCATGAGACAGCACACAGGCCCCAGCCACAAGGACTGCCCCACCTGGCTCCCACCCAAGGTCAGGCCTGGGGCAGCTCACAGTTTCCAAATGGTGGCCATCAATTCAATTAGAAAGAGTGGCCCCCAAGTCCTTATCTGTTAGAGATGAGTGTTTGTAGGTGAACTAATATATCTTCCATTTGTTTTAAAATACTCTAGGCTGGGGGTGGTGGTGGTGGTGGTGGTAATATTTTAAAAAGAGAGATGGTGAAGCAGATGAAATAAAGCTTAGCCAAATGGGAATAACTGAAGTCGAGAGCTGGGTATGTGGAGATTCATTAGGCTACTCTGTAATTCTAATCTATTTTATTGAATCTTCCGTCCTCCCTGACCTCCACCCCAGGCCCCTCTTCCCACCAGTGAGAAACAAAGCAGGTCTCTAGTTTTGTACGCAGTCTGCTTGCTTCTGTTCTGAGAGGCTCCTTGGCAGAAGCAGCCCTTTTGGGGCTCACCTGCCACACCTGGGCCCCAGACCTTTGCTGCTTTCATCCCCTCGGTGAGATGGCCTCTTGGGGTACTCTTGACACTGGTTTCGTATCAAAGTGTGACTAGCTCAGTAAACACAGTCACCTCCTTCCTGTGGCCTGCCATTGGCATTTCTTTCAGGTGGTGGGACCATGACCATATCAAATTAGATTGAAGTTTACCAAGTTCTGGCAGGGAGATTCAGTACCGTGGCCTCAAAGCACATCCAATTGCCATCATTCAGTCAGTAAGAATGCTGGGAGACCTGGTAAGGCAGTGGATGGGCACTGGGCGGCTACAGGAAAGGTTGGTAGTTCAAACTCACCAGCCATTCGGAGGGAGACAGATGTGGCTGTCTGCTCCCATAAAGATTTACAGTGTAGGAAATTCTGTGCAGCCCTTCCACTCTGTTCTATAGGGCTGTGGTGAGTCCAAACCAACTTGGTGGCAGGGGGTTTGGTTTTTTGGTTTGGGTCCCCTTTGATGCCTTTGACATTTTTTCTTAAGGTACTAAAGGTCTTTTATAAAATGGAAAGTAGGATTATTTTCCCCCAAAATGGGAGGTAAGACGTTCTAACATTAAAAAAAATCATCCCCAAAAGAACTCCTAAAATATAAAATCAAAACTAGCCAAGAGGCAGACGTGTATAACTCCTTATAGTACTGTTGTTAGGGAGCATCAACATAGTTCCCACTCACAGAGACCCTGTACAGAGTGAAGGAGCAGCTGGTGGATTTGAACTGCCAACACTGTGGTTAGCAATCCAGTGCTCATTCTACAGCATCACACAGGACTTCCATTCTAGTAGCATGCACTTCCAAAATCCCCAATTCCTAGTATCTCTCTGGAGTCCCCCCCCTCTTTAACAAAAGACAGAATTTGCAATCAGTCTGGGCAAAGAGAACCAGCCATTCCTTTCTTATGGCCAGTGACCCCAAAAAGCGCAGTTAAATGATCTCAACTAGCAAGCCAATCAATTAAAACTGGTGAGTGAAGTACTTTTAACCTTTATCTCAGTAGGCTGTTCCTCGGGGGAGAAGGGGAGGACCGTGAGTTCCCAGCATTGAATTTAATTTCCTTTCATAGATGCTCACGTTCTTGATGTCCTGATGGAAGGGCCACCTTTACACTGGTTCCCTTTCTTTCCTTGAGAGACAGGTTTATGGGTCTCTCCAGGCTACTTGAGCCATATGAACCCTTGCAGAAATTCCCGTGGTTACCTCTCACAAGCCAAAGGACCAAAGGGGGCATGGCTGGTTTATTGTTCTTGCAAGAAAGGGAAAGAAGAAGGCCAGAAAAGGAAGCTAGACAAGCAGGTGCAACTCATGCTAACCATTATCTGAGAATCTTCTGTGCGTCAGGCAGGATACTAAGCTCTGTAGACACACCAATCACTTAGCAGGTGAGTGTGTTCAGCAGAGTGCACCAAAAAGAGGTGAGAGGTGACCCCGAGGCACTTCTAAAATCACAGCCGATGAATACCTGGTGGAGGCCAGTTCTGCTTTGACACACACAGGGTCACTATGACAGAGCCAACTGAATGGCAACCAGTTGGATGTTTTTGTAAAAAAAATATTGACCATAGTGTGTGAGTGGAGTCTGCTTGCTCAAGGAGCCGGGGTGATTTCAGTGGTTTGTCAACAACTGCTAACCTAGCAATGGGCAGTTCAAGCCCACCTAATGGCTCAGCTGAAGAAAGGCCTGGAAAACTTACAGCTAGGAAAATTCACTTGTCATGAGTTGGAATCGACCTGACAGAAACGAAAAGGTTTATTTTAACTGCTCGGTCGTATATTTTGTTCAATCCTCAAAACAGCCTTGTAATGTAAGAAAAATCAACCCTGTTTTACAGCTACGGAAAGAGCAGCATGGGAGGGTTAAGGCCTGCTCATACGGAGTGAGGCAGAGATGTCGGCTCCACAGCCAACCCTCAGAGTTCTCAGCCATGACCACAGGTGCTGAAACTGAGTTGTTTTGTCACAATTCACTGAATGGTACATTAACACTCGGAGAATTTGACCACATGTAAATTATTCCTGTTGTGGTGCTGTATGATAAGCACTGGACTGCAAACTACAAGGTCAGCAGTTCAAACCCACCGGCTACTCCTCAGAAACCCCGTACAGGGTTGCGGTCAATCAGAATCAACTTGACAGTCTACTCAACTCATATTGTACCATAAAAATGCTGATGAAAACAACAATGAGGCAGAGGCAGAGGAGGACAATGCTGTCCTTATCCTGGACAACAGAGGATGACCATCCATTGTTTCTATCTGTCTAGCATCCATCCCTTCTCTAGGGCTCTCCTCTGAGGGTGGCCTCCTGTCTCAAACCAGGGTGATTTTGTGTAGAAGGAACTGGTTCTACCATCCAGCATCAGGACTGGACACGAGACCCCAATCTAATGGCCATTCTAGTCAGTTCAATGACTGTCTTCCTCTGGGTTTTTATATAAGTTCTTGAGAAAGAGAGGTTCTCTCTGTTAGAGCTGTTCAGTGGGCCCAGCAAATCTTGTGGCTTCAGATGACCATCTTTGTAGCTACCTGGGGAGAGCCCTCCTGCGGATGAAGGCAGAAAGCAGGAAGCGATACTGAGGGGCAGCAGGGCAGCCTCCAGGAAACAAAGCCTGAGGAGCCGATCCAGCCATGCCTGAAGGCAGGCTAGTCCCAGATTTTTCAGCAGCTTTGGCCCAACCCCCTGTCCTTTTCCTTAAACCAGTCTGAACTGCATTTTCTCTCTTAGAACCAAAGAGTCCTCATCCACCACAGGACCATTGAGAGATGGGAATCATCTTGCTCAGGAGTGGGCCAACAGCCCACACAGCACATGAAGGGGAGAGAAACCACCAATGCAGAAGAGTGAGTGGGAGGCACCAGGGAGCAGTCTTTACATCCACTGCCTGCTTCAAATCCCATCCCATGATATTGAGGAGAGAGAACATGGAGGAAGCCCAAGAGTGGTGAAATGCAGAGCTGCAGTGATAAGAAAGCACATAGGGCTCTCGCCTTCACAGGCCTCATCTGTATCTAAATGTCAAGGGTTTGCTTCACAAACGTTTCTCTTTACCAGCAGAATCTTTTTATCCCTGGGACCAGAGAGAAAACCTTAATCCACAAAACCAAGACAACTGGCGCAGTTAAGTCTGTGGAGGGAGGGAATCTGGCACTGTGCCCGCCCTTCACTGCCCTCTGAGCAAACCTCCGGGCCAGCTCCACCAGTAGGACCCTAGACAGACCCTGTCTTCACACATGTCACAGATGGTCACAGATCAACCACAGTATCAAAGGCAGGTCTTGTGCTGACCCCCCAAACCCCAGGCACGTCGCAGGCGAGATGGTTCACTCACTCAGATCCAAAACGTCGTCAGTTTTGATCAGATCCTCCTCTCTGGTCAGTGGCAGCTGGGTCTCGGGCTCGCCTCGCAGCTGCAGCGCCAGGGAACGTAGCATGAAGAACACCCGGATGGCCTGCACAGAGGTTCAGAGTGAGACTGCGTGCCGTGCCACTGACGTGCCTCCCAGCACTGAGTCACAAGAGAAAAAAGCAGACCCCCAGAGCCCACCGCTCCCAGTTGTGAGGTTCCAGTGTTCTCAGAACCAGGCCCCAAACCAGTGCTCAGCTGCCCAGAGACTCAGGTTAGGGTCACCTCACCGAACGGAGCTCTTTCCCCACATGTCCTGTGACCTTCACAACCCCGTCCTGCAGGCCTTGGCCCCATTTCACAGACAAGGCAACTGAGACCTCAAGAGGTGGGCAAGTGCTTCTAATAAGGGCTGAAGTTGGCCTTTTCCAATGAACTCAGTGTGGAATCTGGAAATCCGTATCACAGGTAAGCATTTTAATATCCCAACTACTAAGGGTGTGTGTGGGAGGGGAGGGAGAGGGTGCGTGCGGGAAGAACAGGGGTGGTACAGAGCCAGCGAGAGACTCCCTGAGCCATATTGGGTCATGCTGGTGGCCAGGGGTCTGCCCAGGCTTGGCAGGCAGCTCCGTGGGGGTGAGGTGACCCTTCCTGCACAAGGTCTTTCCAGAGAGTAAAGCAGCAGTGAACCAAGCCCCAGTAAGCCAGTAGTTTGTGCAGAAGCAGCTGGCACCTCGGGGTGAGGGGTGGAGGGGAGGCTTGTCCTGAGGGCACTCCCTCCCTGAATCCTGGTCAGGGCCATCTGGTCACCGAAAGGACAGCAAGCAGAGGGGTGGTCACCATGTCTCCCTGACTTCGGATTGGCCTGAGGGACCAGCATCTGATGCTGAGCAGGACAGTTGCCCTCAGTGAAATGCAGAGGGTCATTGCTACCCTGCAGGGCTGTTGGGAGGCTCTGACACCTTGCTGGCGGGGCAACTGCTGTCCCCAAATACAATCATTTGACTGGCACCATGCTGGGCACCAGAGAGGATGGGCCCAGTGATCACTGAGAGTCACACAGAGACGCAGGTCCACACTCTCAGGCCTTCCTGTGGCCAGCCCCAGGGGGCTGTGAGGGGAGCCTGGGTCTACACAGCAAGGTTCCTCCCCAAACACGAAGGAGGACAATTCCCATCTGACACCCTTAACCCTAAACTGTCTTGGCCCGGAACCAAAGGGAGACCTGGACTTGTTCTCACAAGGAAAATGGCAGAGCTAACCTATCCCGCAGGCCTCTTCTGAGGTCAGGCATTGCCCTGTGTCAACTCGAAGGCCCTGGAGAAGAAAGGTCACCTTTGATGGGACGAGAATGGTGGTGGCACTAGTATCAGACTGTTCTCAACTGTTTGTAAAAGGTGTTGTGAGCTCCGTGGAGGTGGTTCAGGCTCCTATCAACCCTGCATAGGGTCTCTGAGGCTGCACATCTTTGCAAGAGCAGACGGCCTCTTTTTTTCTCTTGTGGATTGGCTGGTGGTCTTCAACCGCAGACATTGTCATTTGCAGTTCAGCGCTTATCTTATGTTGTTCTTAAGTGCTATGGAGTCGGTTCCGGCTTAGGGTTCCCAAGGAATTGCCAATCATGCAGTTAGCAGTCCAATGCTTATCGTCCAGAGCCACACCAGGACCTGTATGCACACTGCTGCTGTGTACCATTTCTCGTCAGTTCCACCTCACCACAGGGTTTCTGAGGCTGCCTATCTTTGGGGGAGCAGACAGCCTCCTTTCTCCCGTGTTTGTAAAACCGTGTCTCCGTAGAGACCTCAGCAACGATGAGAAGAAAAAGCAGCATGTCTCCATCGATTAGACAGGATTTTCAATCACCTCAGATGGATGTGAAAGTGGCCCTGTTAGCATCAGCACTGTACTGTGAACTACAAGGTGTGAGTTCCAACCCCCCAGCTGCTCCTCGGAAACCGTACACAGGGTTGCTAAGAGTTGGAATTGATTTGATGGCACTCTGGTAGCATAGTGGTTATGAGTTGGGTTGCCAACCTCAAAGTCAGCAGTTTGAAACTACCAGCGGTTCCGTGGGAGAAAGATGAGGCGTTCTGCTCCCGTAAAGATTTATAGCCTCAGAAACCCTGTGCAGGGTCACTATGAGTCGGAACTGACTCCACAGTACTTAACAACAACAAAGAACTGGTGCATTTGAGTTATGGTGTTGGAGAAGAATATTAAAAGTACTATGGACTGCCCGAAGAGTAAAACAAATGTGTGTTGGAAGAAGTACATCCAGAGTGCTCCTTAGAAGCCAAGGTGGCAAGACTTTGTCTCTCATACTACGGGTACTGTCAGGAAGGACCAGTCCCTGGAGACGGACATCATGCTTGGTAATGTGGAGGGTCAGTGAACAAGCGGGAGAGCCTCAATGAGATGGACTGACACCATGGCAGCAGCAATGGGCTCTGGTGTAAAGACAATTGTGAGGATGGCACAGGACTGGCAGGGGAGTGTTTCATTCTTTTGTGAATAAGGTCACTCGGAGTCAGAACCAACTCAATGGCACCTAACAACAACTCTGTTCAGAATCAAAATCGTTTCCTCTTCTTCAGCGCCCACCGGGTGCCAGGCACTGTGCTGGCACAGCTTGAAGAGGAAGAGAGATGAGAGGGCAGAGTGATCCAGGTTCACGCCACTACTGAGCTGGGGCAGGAGTCTGCCAGCCAATCAGGAGGAAGTTCAAACAGTCGGGCCAGCCCACAAGGACTGCAGAAAGTCCAGGGATGGGTTTACACTTGACATGCTTTACAGCTTCTTGTTGTTGATAACTGCATCTGTTGTTATGTGCTGCTGAGTCAGTTCCGACTCACAGAGACCCATATAGGGTTTCCGGGGAAGAGCTGGTGGGTTTGAACTGCTGACCTTGTGGTTCACAATCCAGCACTGATCCTACAGTGCCACACAAGAAATCCTAAGTGCAGCTGTTGTTGTTAAGCGCCACTGAGCCAGTTCCAACTCATAGCGATCCTGTGTAGGGTTTTCGAGGAGCAGTTGGTGAGTTTGAACCAACGACCTTGTAGTTCAAACTGACCTTGTGGTCTAGTGCAGTATCCCACAGTACCACACGAGAGCTCTCAAATCAGAAAGTATGACCTCAGAGACGACGGACAATGAGACAAGGAGGTCCAGCCCATCATCACCAGGCTCCGTCAGAATGTCAAAACCCTGCCCTCTCGGGGTGAAAGAGGCAAAGAAACCAGGCAGGCCCAGAGCCCGGGAGGGAGAAAATAGATGCTGGTGTGGCTTCTACACATCAGAAATTCATTCTAAAATCTTAAAACCTTCAAAGATCAAAGTTTGGAATGTGGTTCCTGAGAGAAGCCTTTTTTTTTTTTTTTAAAGTAAAACATCTGCTTTTGCTCAGCAAGCAAGAAATGCAAGACATTTGCAGCAACACAAAAATATATATAAAAAAAGTATAAGATAGAATAAAAAACAACCAGTGCTATTGAGTCAGTTCTGACAACAACCCTACAGGGTTTCTAAGGCCATCACCCTACAGGAGCAGACCGCCACATCTTTCTCCACCAACAGTTCAGGTAGCAGGCATGTGCTTAACCACTGTGCTCCTCTGTTAGCAGTGTGCCACCCATGGAGCTTTTAAAAAAATTCTTTTTTGCTAAAAGAAGATGCACATTTCAAAGTATTGTTAAAAGGCAGACAACATATGGCTATGCTTTCCGATACTTCCAAAACACATCAGGAAAACGGACTCTGGAAGGAGGAGGAGACTGGGCCCTGAAAGGGGAGACCGTGCCAAGCTAAATCATAAAGAGACACCTCCAGTTTCTTTACTTCCAGGTGTCTGGGAACAAATTCTGGCAAGGAGTGTCCCTAGGACATGGTTCACTGAGTCGAGCTAGAGGACAGTTTCAGAATCAGCCATACCTTAACTCAACCTGAGGCTTAGGCAAGTCACACAAACCCCAAGCCCAGAAATTACCCAGCAGCCTGGCTCACAGGGCCAGTGTGGGCAGGTGAGGGACACAGCCTGGAACTGGCCTGGGGCAAATGCTCTGCTGGCACCTTCGCTCCCGCTTCCTTCGTTGCATTTGCAGGCTGCTTAGTTTGGGTGACAGCCACCCAGGTTAGAAGCCCACCAAGCCCGCAGGAATGGCTCTACAAGTCAGTCATTCTTAAAAGGGTGCGGGAGCTGTTTAAAATGGGCACAACCCAGTGAGAAAGCGATTTGGCAATCTGTAGAGAGTCACACACACACAAAGAAAGAAAGAAAGAAATGTTCATACCCTCTGAACCAGAAATTCCGTTTCTGGGAATTTATCCTAAAGAAATAACCCAAAAGAAAGAAAACACTGTATTCATAAAGCTCTTCATTACAGTTCAGTTAGGGAAAAAATAACATAATATGGGAACCAACCACAACGTCTATGGGCAGGAAAATGGTTACGTAAGTTAGGGCAGAAGTCACAGAAAACTTTTATGCAGTGAAAAAGGAATTTGAGTTATTATAACTGTATCACAACATGGGAAAATTCTTTGGCTACAGTGACAAGAGGCTATAGCAGGGCTGTGCTGGGAGGACTATGGGGCAATCTGCAAACATGAAAAGATGTTTGCAGACAAGCACTGGGAGGGGGACACCAAAATGCCTAAGTGTCTGTTTATTGTGATGGAGAATTCTTTTCCTTCTACTTTGGAAATATGACACATAATTTTGTTTTTCTCTGATGAACTATATACATCCATAAAGTAAAGTTAAATATCCTGTTTCCTCAAGGTCAATAGTGATAAACACAAAAGCTTATTATGGTTTTACAAGGGAACCGGGAAACAGAACGCAGGGAAATATAAAACTTGATGCCGATACATTGATTTCATAATGGCGTCAGAGATTATGAATTAAAGGTGGTAGGTTTCAGGATGTGATATCCACCAAAAAACCCCTGTCCCAGAGTCTCTTTCTTCTGTCTTGGGTAAGCATTACACTTGGGTGGCTTTAGTTGATGAATGATCCCACTTGGATCTCACTTATGATGCTAGAAAGCTGCATCCATCACTTACAGCCAGCATTTCCTGGGAGCTCACGCTTTGCCAGGCCCGGGG